CACTTCACAGTTTAGAAGTAATTTATGTCTATAATTTCGAGAGTGCAATTCCAAGTTTATAGTGGAGTAACTATTGGAATTAATAGAATTAATTAATTAATTAAAGTGTTTAATTGATTATTAATTTTATTGGAGCTCGGGATTATAGGTCCATTAGTCCTCGCGTCGTCCTAGTAATTCTACCAGACACAGAGGGTAAAATGGGAAATTTTAGAATTAAGGAATTCTATAAATTAAATACTCGAAAATAATTAATTGAGAATTAATTATTATTTAAATAATGTGATTATTTAAATTTGAATTTGAACACATCTAGATTTATCCATTTAAACTTATTTGATAAGTTGTTCAATTTAGAATTCAAATTAATTTAAGTTTGACTTAAATTGAAATTTGAATTTGAGTCAAAATTGGACTACAGGATAAAAGATGATTTTTCTCATCCTTCCCGATCAGAATTGGCGCCACACACAGGGTTAGAAAACCCTAAGGGTGGCCAGCCACATTAGGGATAATGTGAGGAAATTTTTGTTGTTCAAAATTCAAAATTAGAGATAGGGATTTGATTCTGTTTTGAAGTTTGACTTCTACTCTTTAAATATGAGAATGATAGAAAATTGTAGACACAATTTTGAAATAATTTTTTCAGCCCTAATTGTTGGTGGCCGAATTTCTCATTGAAGAAAAAGAGAGCAAAAATATTTTTTTCCAAAAATTTCACATCGTGCATACATTGGTGTTTGTGAAAATTGGAGTGTTTAAGAAACCTATTTTGTCTTACGTGTGCCCATACACACGTCTACGTGGAATCTAGGAATTGACGTGAAAGACTTTGGTATTCTAAACACAAAGATTGGAGCAAGGATTGTTCGTGGTCAAAGAACTCAAGATATCATCCGAGTCGGCTTCCAAGTATTTTTTCCGGGATCAAGTTCTTGATGTAAATTAATGCGATTAATTTATTCGTGCATAAATTAATATAATCTATAGAGTATCTCAAAAGTTTTATGAAAATTTTTGTTATACACGATCCGTCTCCCCGCCACGCTTTCGCACCCGAATTCGATTCGAGAACCAGCAGAAAGATCTTGGTGAAGTAGATACTATCTTAGGCGTAAGAGTGAGGAAGCATAGTGGGGGTTACTCGTTGTGTCAATCTCATTATATTGAGAAGGTGCTTCTTAAATTCAATCATTTGAAGTTTAAAGAAGCAAATACCCCATATGATTCTAGTATTAAATTACTAGAAAATGCAGGCAGAGCTGTGGCACAGCTTGAATATGCTAGTGCGATCGGTAGCTTAATGTATGCTATGCATTGTACAAGACCCGACATAGCATTTGCGGTATGCAAAATGTCTAGGTTCACGAGTAACCCGGGTATCGAACATTGGAATGCAATTGGAAGAGTACTTGGTTATTTTAAAAGAACCATTAACTTGGGTTTGTCATATAATGACTATCCGACCGTACTTGAAGGGTACTCGGATGCAAGTTGGATAACAAGTGCAAGTGATAATAAATCTACATCTGGGTGGATTTTTACAATTGCAGGAGGAGCCGTCTCTTGGGCTTCTAAGAAACAAACGTGCATAACTCACTCTATGATGGATAGTGAGTTTATAGCACTTGCCGCTGCAGGCAAAGAAGCAGAATGGCTAAGAAATCTATTGCTTGATATTGAGTTGTGGTCACAACCGATACCATCTATGTCTTTGTACTGCGATAGTGAAGCTTCTTTGTCTAGAGCTTATAACAATGTTTATAATGGTAAATCTAGACATATTAGCTTGAGACATGAATATGTTAAACAATTAATAACCGATGGTGTTATTAATATTGTTTATGTTAGGACAAACAAGAACCTAGCGGATCCTTTGACGAAAGGTCTTTTAAGAGACTTAGTCAAAGAAACATCTAGTGGAATGGGACTGAAACCTTTCTTTGAAAGAGTCACTAATGATGGTAACCCAACTATGTAATAGTTGTACCGCTATTCCATAGTTAAATGGGTAAGAATAAATTATTGTTATGTGACCGGGTTAGCACCGAACTTTAATTAGTCCCTTCCAGGATATCGGTGCAAAAATAGCTACGTGGTTGAGTTTTAACTCTTAATGAATTTCGAGTCTCTTCGTAGCTAGAGATATAATTCGAACTTCACCTAAGTGAACATAAGGAATGGTGCCGTTCCTAATAAGACCTTGGTTTAGTCTTGTAAATGTTCATGAATCCAAGATAGAGCACAAGGCC